ACAGTTACGAGACACAGGGCAAGTGGTAAGCAGGTGGAATACACACTTAGAGCAGCTGTCGTAGAAACCAAGTCCGTCCACAGTTTCAGCACCAGGTGCAATATAGTACAAGAACGGTGGGGAAATATATATGTATACATCAGGTTGAAATTGCTTGGGGGAGGGGCGGGGTCCTGGGAGTCAGATCTCGATCCCCCGTAAGTAATAACAGGTAAACACATAGAGACTTGTATACACACGAGAGCCAGGCAGTAAAGGAAACATTCCAGGTCTTTATCGTGGCTCCCGCTGGAAGTTATGGCTCCCCAGGGGAGCTGCTGCGGAGGCTGAGTGTAGCGGAGGGGAAGAGAGGGGAAAAAGGGGGATTAAGAAGACAAGGGAGCAAATGGGAACGCGAGAAATGGGAGGCAGATAAGATGGGATGACAGGCGGGAGATGCAGCTATAGATAGGTTTGGAGGAGAGGGGAAACATGCTAGAACCGCACACACACACACACACACACACACACACACACACACACACACACACACACACACACACACACAAGTCGTTAGGTGAGATAACAAGTTAGGTGAGAAGGTGGTGGAGGCCAAGACCGTCAGTAGTTCCAAAGCGCTATATGACAGAGTGCTGGGAAGACGGGACACCACGAGCGTAGCTCTCATCCTGTAACTACACTCAGGTAATTACACTTAGGTAATTACACACACTTGGAAGGGTACCATACCGTGCCCCAGGATAGTCCGAATAAAATACCTGAAATCCTTGCACTGTATCCATATTTCGCTCCCAGTAGATAAACGACATATGAGATTAAGAAAGAAGTAGTGTATTGTTAAGACTAATAATAAACAGCAACTCACCTATGACTCTGTAATATCTCCACTGCTCAAACAACTATGTATCAGCAATAAGACCTACCATTAATGTATAATGATTTACTGTAAATATATAGCTCTTGAAATAGAACATTCTCTGTAACTAGCTGACATTGTAACTATAAGGTGTGAAGGTTAGATGAAATTGTTTATGTAATAATCTCCGTTGAGGTCTGATAATGACCTTTTGTGCCCTCTGTAATGCTTTTTGCGCTACCGCTCACAGGGTGAGTATGGGGTGCACGATAAACTAGCCGCATCAAATCCCCTGACCCCCCTATTTCACTCCCTCTTTTTTTCCTCTCCTTACAAAATTCCTCTTCCTCCATCTTCCCTCACTGCCCCCCTCCCCTTTAATCCTCTTCCCCTCTTCACCCCCTTTCCAGCCCTCTCTTATTCTTCATGCCAGCTCCCCCCCCCCTCCTCTTTCCTCCCATCTCCCTCATTCCTCCCCATACCCCTTCCTTCACCTCTCTCTTCTCCAACATCGAAGATACAGATATCCCCATTTATTTATTATATAAAGGGTATCCAGCTGAACCCAGGTCTCTTTCCGGCCCACCCTTAATCCCATCTTCCCTTTGATACCTCCATTCCTGTCCCTTTTGTCCCCTTTCCCCTGTTCCACCCTCTCCCCTCCCCTCTTCTCAGGACATTTATCAATTAAGAATCACTGAAACAGCTGTATGGCTCTTCAAGAAGATATGTTGTTACGATCACGACATATATTTCACACTTGATTCCGTGAAAATCGCCCGGGAGGTATGTCAATAACTGCCAATATTTCTTAAAGCATTTAACTTAGGTTTACCAGCCTGTGTCCGTCCAGTACCGCAGACCATTTCCCATGCAAAACGTGAGAAATGAGTCATTATATTAATCTAAGAACGTTTGGAAGGCGGCGCTAGGACTCTAGCTTGTCTCTGCAAGTACTTCAATGGATGCCCTGGCTGACCGGATTCGAATCTTTCAGGGCTCAAGAGTTTTCTGATTATATATATATTATATAAATATATATCCAGTCCCATATATATATATATATATATATATATATATATATATATATATATATATATATATATATATATATATATATATATATATATATATATATATATATATATATATATACATACACAACAGGGTTAAGTCTCCGAACCATGGAAGTAAGCATTTCATCACAGATCTGTGTAAGACCCAAACCGGTAACCTATACCACATTTTACCCGACTTCGCCAGACACACGTGCGAGCCACTAGCTAGCGTGGTAAATTCTTATACCATCACATGTTCCTCACTGAAATTCACATGTATGGACGTAAGGATATACAATCATTGGTATTTGTGTGTTTTGTATATAAAAACACTCGTCAATATTTTAAGAATTATCCTTTCAAATTATTTAAATTCATTTAGAGAAATAATCGTTTAAAAGGAGTTTCAGAAAATAAAATATGTTATATGGAGTAAAAAAAAATGTATTCTGATGAGGAGAGCTCAACCAGCTATTTGACCCCAATTAGCACAGTATAGGGTCTTAAACCTGACCCGGCATGAACATTATAAAGTTATAATGGCGTCACACACCTCGTGCATACTTACATTATATATATATATATAACAGGAAATATACAGTTGAAAAGGTAATTTTCACTCGGCATTAGTGAACACACTGGCGGAGCAGCAGAGGTCTCCAAGGACCTCGCCTTCTCCCAGTCATTGTTTGTAACGCATTTGAAAAAAACAATGAACACATGCTACAAATAATTACTGGAGAGGGGAAATACATAATGGAATATCAACAAACGTCTTGTATTACAACAAGCATGCATAGGATCGCCATGTGACTAGAATGATGTTAGGAAGTAACATGCTGTAGAAGACTGAAACACGCAATAGACAGCATAGTGACGGTCACCACTCACACAAGAGCCAGACTGGTGACACACACACCAAGACAAACACACCACCACACAGTCGTCACCAACCTGACCACGGACCACCCAACTTCACATGGTCGCCTCTCACCAGTTCGCCCATAATCCTGCAACTTCCAAAGTTTTCAAGAATAATACTGTCTACTATTGTTCTTTTATCACTCTTTTTTTCTTGCTCCTTCCTTCTCCTTCCCGCTCTTTATTTTTGTTTCCCCACCGGACCCCCACACACGGATGGAGTGTTCAATCAACCAACACTTCACACGGTGGCGCGTCCAAGCCACCCCGGAACCGCGTGTATCTGCGAGCGGTAAGCCGAGGCTGCAGGACTGTTGGCCCGTCGGCAGCCACTAGCGGACTCGCCAAGCTGCGTGAGCTACCCCGCAACACTCCTTCCCTAGTCAATAGCGAAATCAATACTCATGCGGAGGTTCCCCTTTCTCGTACGCAGGTTCTTATACACCGCTCAGGGCTATGTCCGCCGGCAGGATAATTAGAGCCCATTTGAGGGGTCATGTCAGTCAGCGTCCCTGGTCACCCCCGTGTGGAGGAAGCGCCAGACGGCGGGGGGCACTGCAGCAGCAGCAGCAGCAGCAGCAGCAGCAGGAGGGAGAGTTGGAGTGACGCCGCGGGAGGTGGTAGGGTGCGCGGGCGCCTCACTCCTCCGGAGGGTGAGCGCGGGAGGATAATGTACTCCTTCATGATATATTCATGAATGAGGCTGCTCACCCACGATTGGTAGTCAAGCTGGTCGACTCTGTGGCACTGTTTCAAGAAAACGTCTTCCCTACATGTTCCTTTAATGAGTTAGTAGTTTAAGCATGCGGATTAAAATAGAATAATATATATATATATATATATATATATATATATATATATATATATATATATATATATATATATATATATTATAGAGTACTTGCATTAACAAACGAGAGATTTGAGGACTCCTGCAGTGGCATAAGTGACATTTGCAATCTCACGACTTTACAATAGAGTGCAAATTAATGATGAAGTGTATATATATTAATAACGAGGTGTGTATATTGGTTTCTGCCATTTAAACCCTTTAATATTTCGTCAAAATAGTTCCCAGCAGAAGAAGGTTACAAGAGCTAGATGAAACTTCTTATTTTTTTGTCACAGACGTTACTTATATAATGCAAACAAGTACACAAGTAAACAATAAACAGTTATGATAGAAATACCAGGGAATGTAAAAACTGAGAACGAATTCTTCAGTAAGTTTACTTTTTCCCCATCCTTTTCTGCCACAAATTTAACAGTTATGACATACAAATGACAAATTAAAACAGATAATAGTCGCAGACTAAATACAAAAATAAAATATCAGAAAACATTCAAATGATATAACATTCCGGAACGACTGAAGTAATGAACGAGTCTCACATTAACTAATACAGGAAACCATAATATAGCTACGAACTAAAATGAGATTAAGACGAATATTCAACTACAAGACCGGATTTGATGAAGATAGTCATTAATGATGATGATTTGATGATGATAGTCTGCCGCAATAACGGATAGAACATGGAACTAGTCACAAGAGGAGTAATAATTATAAAGGAAAAGAGTTAAGCCAGTGTAAATACACAGCACTCTGAAGTACAATACAATGCAACAATTTAAATAATATACAAAGATTTTATATTTTATATATGCAAATATAACATTTGCATATAAAATCATAACATGCCTTTACCGGAAGTTTTTTCGGATTTTTGTTTACCTATTTCTCAGTTATCGGGAGTAAACAAAAGTTGTTATAACACTTCAACTATTGAGACGATTTACAGCTATTTAACCCGGAGAGGGATTCATTTATAAGCAATGATCTTGCTGAAAAGAATTTGAATCTTATGTAAATTTAAGAAAGCTTGTTAATGAGACAGGAAATTAGATGAGGTCTCGAGTCGCCAATTGTTGGTAAGAGGCTTAACATGCTGCCTGGGGTCCACTAATACCCTCACTAATGCACCTTAATTAGGCGGGCCATATTGGTGGCCAGATGCACCATGCTATTTGCATTCATGACTTTACCTGTACAGCAGTCAGGAGCTGCCTTCTACACATAGACCATGAAGTGTCCTGGTCCACACAGAGCAGAAACTCTGCTGGTACACACAGATCAATAACTACTTGGTGCACAGAAATCATACACTGATTTCTGCGTCAGAAAGGTCACCTGTGTCCTGTACACGCAGGCCATGAAGTGCCTGGAACACAGCAATCAGACACTGCCTTGGAGCACTTAGATCTGCAACTGCTAAGTGCATACAGATCAGTAACTGGTAAACACAGAACAGAAACTACTAAATGCCGAAAAAAAGAGTAATGCAATCATTACACGTGTTAAAAACCTCAGTTTCAGATTGCTACGGCGACGGGGTTTTAACTTATTTAGTATAAATATGTAAGGTGTAATCAAATGTTAAATTGACACATTGTTGTTCCCGATATATTGAACAATCTTAAACTTTGATTCGTCAAACGTAACACATCTCAGGAGCGGCAGACTCGATTATGTTACTGGTCAGTCTTGTCGATGATACTGTCAACATATCAGCTGTACTCGAATCAGTTAGTTATCATTTTGCCATAAATCATATACTACAAATGATGGCAGACGTCAACGCTTGGAAATCCTAAAATAAACAAAATCCCTGAGCAATTACACACACATGCACATGCTGTATATCTCTGAATGGTGTAACTCATCTTTTACTACTGTTAATGAATTATATGAGAACCCTGCCACGGAAGAAACAGTTTTATATGCCACATTCATTCAATTTGATGCTACTGTCGTGTTTAATGGCTCCAGACTCAACGCATCAGTCTGAAAATGCTGTTTTCTTCTCTGCTCCGGGTTCCTGCGTGTCGTTGTTTGCGTTATGAACACGACAGGCATACTTGTCTTCGTTAATCCTTGCCATCTAAGTTTTGGAATATTTCCGCTAGGTATTACAGCGTGTAGTATACACCCCCCAGGCTGTGGTGACCTTGTTGCTACTGCGGCAGAAATATTACCAACAACAGCGACTTCACAGTCGGAGTACAGAGTAGGGCAACCTTGGAAAATATACACATTAGAGCAACTTGGAGCACATACATACAAGATTACTGCACCCAGTAATAGTTACAACAGAGTGCGCGTAGGTAGATGAATAGCTCATAGGAGTATACAGCGAGTGTAAGGGAGGACCCCCAGAAATACATCAAGGTAATGCATGAGCGGCGAGGCTCACGAGAGAGGCCACTGGGTAATGCGACATACAAGGCGAGCCCGGGCAATATGTATTGTAGCGGAAACCAGACCATGGGGGAGGGAGGGGATGAAGGTCACAGGGAGACAGGTCATGCTGTCCCAGGTGTGCCTGGGACAGGTGTACCTGGGACAGGTGTACCAAGGCTTTGGTACACTAGATTATGATGAGTTCAATCATGAGTAATCATGTCATAAAGAACAAACTGCAGGCGATGAGTCACAATAACGTGGCTGAAGTAGTTTGACCAGACTACACACTAGAAGGTGAAGGGATGACAACTTTTCGGTCCGTCCAGGATCATTCTCAAGTCGATTGTGACTTGAGAATGGTCCAGGACGGACCGAAACGTCGTCGTCCCTTCACCTTCTAGTGTGTGGTCTGGTCAAAGAGCAAACTCATTTGGAAGCCAAGAGGAACCAGATCATGGTGTACCATACAGAAAGGAACCTGGTCAGTGGACGAATAACTAGGTAATCAGAATGTGCTTGGTAGCAACGAGAGCACTTCTGCTGCAAAAATATGGTCTGTCAGTCAGCTGGGGACTTCGCAAGACATTACAAACCTTTTAAGAACATGTCTTCAACATCCTTCATTTTCTGTCATGTCTGTATCTCGCCCGTTCATGCTTCTGAACTTTATAAAAGATGCTGCCAATGTTATATTATGCTGGTAATGTTGATTTATTATTGTTGATGCGGCTATTAGACCATCAGTCACCTTAATAGTCCAAGAGCATATGGACAAAAAAATCGTACTTTTTTTTTGGGGGGGGGGAGTAAAGAGGAAGGAGAGGCATAGGTGAAGGGAAGTATAGAAGTGGGAAATACAGTGAGAGGTATAAAAGCAGGCGGGCTGTCCGCCTTGCTGACTGTCTGCCAATCGTACTCTGTGTCAGTTTCAGTGAAAGAATCTGTGACTGGGTTTATGTATTCAGAAACTACCTGTAGATACACAATTTCCACGGTGACTCTCAGTGATGTGTGGAATATGGAATTAATGACACCATTTAGACGCTCACCATCGAAAATTTCCCAAAATTCATTATCTTCGTTATTAGTGACTGGAGTTTTAACCTTCAAGGTCATGTTAATCTAAAAGGCAATGGATGATGAGATTAATACGTATATAAAATATATAATTTCAAATATAACACTTTTGCATTTATGTCAATTATATTTATGTTGTGTTCTAAGGTTATCGCACCCACTGAGTATAGTTTGTGTGTTTAGGAACAACCATTGACTGAACGTATTAAGAAAGAGGTATGGCAAGTCAAGGGCAAAAGTCTTGCCATTGACTTCACTTTTGAACTTTAAATATATATTACATAAATATTATATATATATATTATATATATATATATATATATATATATATATATATATATATATATATATATATATATATATATATATATATATATATATATATATATATAAATATAATTTTAATATTCCATTAATTTTGTATTCCCTATGTGCATGTTCTTCACATTCTACAGATTCTTTATATTCTACATATTCTTCTCAGATTATCCATTACTGTTGCTCTATGTTGCAGTGTGCACAACACTCTTTCATGCAGCCCTCTGGCGCCTCTCCGTTAGTTTCTCTGGTGATAGGTCGGAGGAGCACGTCCCGACCAGGCCACAAGGGGTTGTGGTGACAACCTCTTCACGCCCGGGTCATTAGCACGACCCTCGGGGTGTGTTGATTCTCTGGTCTTCTAATATCTCTCTATCTCTCTCTCTCTCTCTCTCTCTCTCTCCCTTCTCATTACTTTTCACGTGGATTAAATTTAAGTTGTCATTTGTTTTCTTATGTTTTTCTGTTTAGATCTTCTTGGTTTCGCCTTCAATCTATTTTATTATGACATATTTGCTTATTAAATTATATTTAATGGAATCAAAGGTGTGTGTGTGTGTGTGTGTGTGTGTGTGTGTGTGTGTGTAGGTGTGTACTCACCTATTTGTACTCACCTATTTGTGCTTGCGGGGGTCGAGCTCTGGCTCTTTGGTCCCGCCTCTCAACTGTCAATCAACTGGTGCACAGGTTCCTGAGCCTATTGGGCTCTATCATATCTACACTTGAAACTGTGTATGTAGTCAGCCTCCACCACATCACTGCCTAATGCATTCCATTTGTCAACTACTCTGACACTAAAAAAATTCTTTCTAATATCTCTGAAATTGTGTGTGTGTGTGTGTGTGTGTGTGTGTACTCACCTAATTGTACTCACCTAATTGTGCTTGCGGGGGTTGAGCTCTGGCTCTTTGGTCCCGCCTCTCAACCGTCAATCAACTGGTGTACAGATTCCTGAGCCTATTGGGCTCTATCATATCTACATTTGAAACTGTGTATGGAGTCAGCCTCCACCACATCACTGCCTAATGCATTCCATTTGTCAACTACTCTGACACTAAAAAAATTCTTTCTAATATCTCTGAAATTGTGTGTGTGTGTGTGTGTGTGTGTGTGTGTGTGTGTGTGTGTGTGTGTGTGTGTGTGTGTGTGTGTGTGTGTGTGTGTGTGTGTGTGTGTTGGATAACCAGAGAATAGTCAATATATTATGCTGACAGGAAACTCTATAAGGTGTTAGTAGCACTCGCAAGCTGATGGGCAAAGTGTGTTACCTGCTATCTGTCATAGATGGACAATGCTATAATACATTGCAATTTAGCAGAAATGCAACATTTTAGAGCATTTGACCATTAAAATTGAGCTATGCAGGTGTGTAATTAGTGACTTTATGTAATATACAATTACTCTACATACTAGTAATCCCTGTAACATGTTCCTTTCTATATTTTATAAATAAAATAATGTTATTATTCACCTCATATTTTCTTACAGAAAGGAAGAAATAAATGTTTATTGTTATTAATATTCAAACATCTACGCTACCGTATAGTATTTCTAAAAATTTTCTTTTGCAGCATCGCAAATTGAAGCAAAATTCCCGAAGCCCAGAAGTCTGAGTGAGAGAGAGAGAGAGAGAGAGAGAGAGAGAGAGAGAGAGAGAGAGAGAGAGAGAGAGAGAGAGAGAGAGAGAGAGAGAGAGAGAGAGAGAGAGAAAAGGTAGAGGGAGATATGATACTTGAGAGTAATGGGATCCAGAAAGCTTCTTCGTGCTCTGTTTGGGCCAGAGGACAGACGGTGGGAGTTGCATAGAACAGTCTCCACTCCACCCACCAGGTGGTGCATAGAGCCCACTCCACCCACTAGGTGGTGCACAGAGCCCACTCCACCCACCAGGACTCTCCTTACTCATGGCGTCATCCAGGCAGTGCGTCACGGTTGACGTTCGAAGAACATAAACAGAGCGTAAAGAGCCAAACAATGCCTAGGAAGACTATGGAGAGCTGAACAATGCCAAGGAACAATGAACTAGGAACTAAACAATGCCTAGGAACAGTGTCGATTACAAAAAAATACAGGAACACTGTGATTAGCAAACAGTGCCAAGAAACAGTGTGTGTACCACCATACAGAACACGATTCATCGCCAAATAAACGCCAAAAGAGCTTGCGAACAATTGGGAAACAGCAATATCATGTAGCTTTTAAACGATCGGTAAAATCCAATAGAGGATTTGCCACACCAAAAATGCAGCTCTTTTTATTCTCCAGGAAAAGACGCAAGACAAAAAAAGGAACAAATCTAAAAATAAGAAGTGGTTGGAGGGGTGACGATCAGAAGATGTGCTTTATTGGGAGGTATTTTTGTTCTATTTTTGGGAGGTATTTTTGTTCTATTTTTGGGAGGTATTTTTGTTCTATTTTTGGGGAGTTATTTTTGTTCTATTTTTGGGAGGTATTTTTGTTCTATTTTTGGGGAGTTATTTTTGTTCTATTTTTGGGAGGTATTTTTGTTTTATTTTTGGGAGGTATTTTTGTTCTATTTTTGGGAGGTATTTTTGTTCTATTTTTGGGAGGTATTTTTGTTCAATTTTTGGGAGGTATTTTTGTTCTATTTTTGGGAGGTATTTTTGTTCTATTTTTGGGGAGTTATTTTTGTTCTATTTTTGTTCCATTTTTGGGAGGAAGCCTGGTTGACCAGACCAGCAACCAGGAGGTCTAGTCGAGGACAGGGCCGCGGGGGACGTTGATCCCCTGAAATCATGGCAAGGTAAGGTAGTGTCTTCGTGCCTCGCCTGTCCCCCCTTCCCCAACCCTTCAAGCAACTCCCAAGAAACTATTAAAGTCACGGTTTAAAGTTACCAATTAAGGAAGCAAGAGTGTTCCTTACTCCTTTAAACACCTGTCTTCCGTACCTCTTGACCGCTCCCCCCAAGACCAGCCCTAACCTTCCGGTCCCAGCCCGACCACACCCCCGGGCGTCCTCAACTAATCTTGGGGCTTGAGAAGAAGAGACAAGGAGTAGTAAAGCTTTTACATAATTTCCCCTCTTTATCGGGGAGGACAGGAAAACCTGTACCTTTGTTAAGGTCCCCCACCCACCCCTCCCTTGGCCAACTATTGACGGTTCCCCAGGATACAACCTCCACAGCAGTTGCCTATCTCCAGGGTACATATTTAAGTGGTAGGTGAAGAGCGGCATCAGGTAAAATGAAACCTAGCTAGCTGTTTCTGCTCTGTTTGGGGACGAAGAGAATAGAATATTTTATATTCTATCTTGATCTACTTAAATGTACGCCTCTGTATTCGTGCTTCTCTGTTAATTTGCCTTTCGTGTCATGAGCGAGGTAATACCATGATTTCTTTGTCTGAAGATGTCGGATTATCACCTACGACGGCCTTGGGTGTGTCGGTAAGATGGCCTCAGGGTAATGTAAGCTGCTCTAACAAGCCCAAGACGCTCATAGGCGTCTTGGGCTTGTCTCGAGGGCCCGATAAGCTCGTCCGTGGGGGTGTGGTGGGCTTATCTAAGGATGGGGTCATACTGGGCTCGTCTTGGGGGCGTGTTGGGCTTTTCCGGTGGGCGTGTCTGGCTTGTACACAACACCTGCTGGCTCCCTGCTTGGCACCAATATTGGAAAAGGTTTTCAGTACTTTTGTTAAAGGCCACGTCCAAGCAGCACCAGAAGAGATTCTCGATACCATTTATCTTGGGTTCCAGCCCACCACCAGCGTCGTGTGTAGCCTCGTGGGTTCCACTCCCCCACCAGAGGCAACCGAGGTTGTGTGGTGTTTGAAGTGACTCCTACACTGTAAGGAGCTCTTTGCGGCGGATTGAGGGAACAGAATTGTTTAGAATGGATCTTAGTTTAATGTGAATCGAGTTGGGAAGACCATTATTTTTCAAAATTTTCGCACAAAACATAGTACTAAGTAGAACTATTCTTTCGTAAATGGAAGGTAATTTTAGTTCCTTTCTCATGGTAACAATTCTGACAGTTCTAGGACAACCCAGGATGATGCGCATGGACAGGATGAGTATGGGGTGCACAATAAACTAGCCGCCTTCGGCGGCAACAAACAAAAAAAACATCATTTTGTACTACATCTAGACAAGGGTCTGAGAATGGCATTAGACCTTCCTCAGCCTTCAGAGGGCTGCTGTAGTCAAGGTGAGTTTACGACTTTATCACCTTAATTACTGCCAATAATAGCTTTCGAGTTTCTTTTTACTTCAACAATTTGATAAAAATTACTTCCCGGTTAATGAAAGTTTAATAATGTTTCTCGATAATCATTTATTCAGTTTTCAATTAGTTTTTTCCAGCCCCAGCTTGAGCCATTTAATCTGGGCAATGTTGGTCTTATGAATATCTTATCGCTGACTTACATATTTTTGTATTAATGTTTAATACTGTTTTTCAATTATGGTTAAATCCCGGGAATTCCGTTTTTGCTGACTTTATACGGTTAGAATAATCGGCCACAGACCGTCCTCTCAGCTATAGTACGTCTCATTTTGTACGTTGTGGTATCATACAAAAGTGGTATTTTGCATGGCTATGAATTCATACAAAGGACCACGAAAAGTAGCCGCTTCTAAAAATATTCACGTTTTCTATGTATTTTTTTTTTTTTTTTAGATATATACAAGAGTTGTTACATTCTTGTACAGCCACTAGTACGCGTAGCGTTTCGGGCAGGTCCCTGGAATACGATCCCCTGCC